GCCTACAAATACACATCTTGGTAGTAGTTGGTCTTAGGTTGCTGCTGTTGTTAACCTTGGCACACAAAAAAAGCATCTTTCTGCTTAGTAAACCATATCGTGGGTGTATTCATGAACAAATTATTTTCTTTAGAAAACAATTTTTGATACACATCTAAATTTCCTTTCTAGTTCCCACTACCCTTTTCCAGCCTTCAGAAGCTCAGACTGGGGTTAAAATTCCTTTTCGTATTATTTTAATTATTGCTCTCCCCACCTCCACCCCTTTCCTGTTTCCCCCTCCTCTTTTCCCCTAACGGCACTGTTCTGCAAAGCCTGCAATGATTGATATGATGGCAGTGCTGTCATTCTTTTTAACCAAAAAAAAAGTCATTTTTGTTCTAGTTATTTTAATAGAGTCCCATTAAAGATGTATTGCTGACTGAAATATCGGCATGAAGGGCTCTCACTGAGCTGAGCCCAGGAATTAAGAAGTCAGGAAATCGGCTGCTGCATTGCAAGAGAGCCTTGTGTGACACCGAGTCTCCTGATTGGGGAGATCATTACTGCTATTATGACTCGACTTGCGTAGGAATTTTAAATTCCATCTGAATGTCAGTAATAACCCTCTTAGCAAATTATCCTGAATAAAATCACGAAGGCATTTTATATAATAGGTGTTGAATTACTGGATAGATTTGCTAATTAAATACTCTTTGTTCTGCTGCAGTTGACATTACAGGGTAAGATCTTGAACAATTATTCTCAACAGCTGTACTTTGTTAAGGGAAAAATTAACCACAAAGTTTATTTTTTTACACTTGAAGTTGGCAGATTTTTGAAATGTGCTTGAAAAAATTCCATCATCCAATTGGTAATGAGTAGATAAATATGCAGGTGTTGCTGTGAAATCAGATAACTGCAGACTGCCTTATTAATGAATTTAGCAAGCCTTTATAGCCCTGTTTTCTAGCCGTTAGCACTTATAAAGTGATTTTTCTGTCAGAATGGGCAGCTTTAATATTACACTTGTCACTTCAAAGTGAACTTACGAATGGTCATCTTGTAATCATGGTACCTTGTGTCTAGTAGACCTTTCTGGGTACTTGTGGCTATTTTTTAAAATGTGTTTCTTCAATGGGGAAAATATCTGTAATGTGTAAGTTTTTGATTGTTGGCTTCTAGGACATTTATGTGGTATGAGGCTTTATTTTATTTTATTTTAGAAGGTAGTGGGACATAATGAAAAGAAAATGAAACAAAGTCCAGCTTCTAGATCAAGCTCTTGGGCAAAATCTCAGAGCCTGATTTTCCTCATCTGTCAGTTGGGATTTATAACACTGTGTACCCCTTAGGATTATTCACTTAGCATTCTATAAATGTTTATTAACAGCTCCCATGTACCAGGCCTCTGGTAGATAGTAAGAATTTGGTAGCTCCCTGGGTATCTAACAGCTGAGCCCTCCCCAGTGAGCAGTTTGAGTTGAGGGCTGGACTTGAGGGCAGCTTTCAAGTATTTCTGCTCATTAGCACTTGGATAAGCATTGGACTAGAGAGGGCACTGTGATACCCACCATCTAGAACTGCTTAGTGAAAAAACATGACAGGTTAGGGGTCAGACTGGTTGTGGGTTGTCTTGTATAGAATGGGCTGAAGAGTTGACAAACTGTGGTGAGGACCTTGAACCTGAGACAGAACATTGTCATCAGCTACTCGTGAGGCCCACTGAAAAGATGGTAAGATCCATAGAAATCAGTACAACCTCTGTAGAGAGCTATTGGGTTATATTTATTTTTAAAAATTTGAAACATAACAACCTTTGACCCAGCACGTCCACTTGTCTTGTTACTGGCAGATTTGTATATTACACATGTATAGGGATTATTTGTTGAAGTATGGTTATAACGGTAAAGAGTAGAAACAACTTTTGTGTTCATTAATAGAACACTAGTTAAATAAATTACGTTCTGTTTATACAATGGGGTACTATGTAGTCATTAAAAAATAATAAGGCAGCTCTTTATGTGTGGATTTGAAATAACCTCTAGGATAAGTGCTAGGTGAAAAAAGCAGTTGTGGCGTAATCTATAGTTTACCATTTCTGCAAAAAAAGACATCCACCAAAAGGTTTCTGCCACCAAAAGGTTTCTGCCACCAAAGAAAATCGTTTTGGTAGCAGTCCTCAGGTTATGCATGGCAATGGTTGTGAGTTGGTGACAGGATGGAGTAGGGGTGGATGATGGATCTGAAAGGTGAAGGTTGCCAGTTCACATTGAAGGTACACTCAGGGATGACATAGTAGATTTGGTTCATGTTGTGAAACAAGAGTAGAAGAAATTGGTTATTGAATATGTGGAGTTGTAGTAAAAGGTTGACAGTCTGCTCCTCAGGTATTTTATTGAGGTAACAGTTATGTTATGGTGTTGTCTATTGTGATGAGGAAAGCTAAGTCTAGCAAACTGTGAGACGCAGAGGATAAAGAGGACTCTTGATAAGTAGTTCTGTCCTCACTGTGATTAATTTGCCTTGGGTTGATCTCATTATTGCCCTTTCCCTAAAGGAATTGTCAAGTATTCTCCCACAATGCCTTTCCCTGCAATTTAAATGTTAAAAAATGAAGATGAAGTTGGGGAGAGTGAGTGTTTTTTATGTTAGCTGAATTTTAGTGTCTAGTGGAAAAGTAATTGGGATTACTACAGGACCTATTAGTCACCTGGCAAACAGTTTTTTGAGTGCCTGTTATAGTGAAGTCTGCACTTAGGCATCAACATGTGGTCTGACCTCCAGGAGCTTGTAGTCTAGTTTGGGGTGGCTAGGTGGGAGCTAATAACATAAAACATCATTGAAGTACTAGTAGAATAATGCAAACACAGATGAGAGGAGAGAGACAGGTATGGGCTGGGCCAGTCAGCTCATGCAAAGATTTGAGCTGAGGGTTGTAAAATTCAATGACAGGAAAAGGACTGGGGAAGGAATTCCAGGTAGGAGACACACTGCATGAGTGAAGGCATGAAAAGATGAGTCTGTACACAGTTAACTGTTGGAAGACTGGGAGATTTATTCTGTCCAGCAAGAGAATCTGTGTAAAAGAATAACAGGCCATACAAGTGGAACAGTGGTTTAGGTGCAGTTGCAGAATTTGGTCTTGACCTTGTAGGCATCGGAGAGGCATTGAAAACATTTAGGAGATTGGTAATGATATTCAGGGTGAGTTGATGAGACCTAAAGCCAGTAGAGATGCGAATTGGTTCATCCTCAGTGACAACCTCATTTCCATGGAGTCAGACGCTTTCCACCTTGCAGCCGGCCCTGCTCAGCATGTTAGCTTGCACCTAGGAATGGCCCTTCATAGCCATGGTGATGGTTGCCACTGCACCAAGCAGCCCTCAGTCTAAAAAGGTAGTCCGCCACCGCCTGCCCTCTCAAATCAGGAAGGAAAACCTTTCACAGAAGCATCCTACAGGAATTCTCCTTAAGTTTAATTGGCCAGGATTCTGTTCACATGCACACGCCTAAACTGATCGCTGTTTCCAGAATGGAATTGCCATGATTATCTTAGTCCAATGGTCCTTAAGCCAGCTTGCAATGTAAGAATACTGTCGGGGCCAGGTATTGTGTTTTTTGTTTTTTGTTTTTTTAAGATCCCCAGGTAATTCCACTGTACAGTCAGTATTAAAACTACTGGCTTACCCTAATCAGAATTCACCATTCACCACCCCCAGGGCAGGAGAAAGGGCTTCCTTGTCTAAGAACATAATATTAATACAGTGAACATCTGAACAAAACTGGGAGATAGTAATAAAGGGCAGAGGGCAATAAAAAATGGAAAGTAATGGATATATATAAAAGATACTCTAAAGACAGGATTTACAAAGCTCTGTGATAGGGAAGACAAGAAAGAAGTGACACCATGAAACTTGAGCTTAGTTGACAAGGAGGACTATTGAAGTAGGAGAAATAAATATGAATGAAATAAACCTTTATTTGGTCTATTGGAAAAGTGACCTCAGCTTTAGACTGATGCTTTGAAAGATGGGTGATAGCAGAGAGGCAATAGCATGGAGTGACTAAGGCCCCATACTCGTCAGAATGCTTGGGTTCATATCCTTGTTTTGTCATTACTAGGACACTAATTTCTCTTTGTCTTTTGGCATCTAACAAATGAGGCTATTAATAGTAGCTACCCCTTGGAGATCTAGGGGAATGAAATGAGAAAATGGACAAGGTGTTCCTTGCACAGCATCTAACACATGTATTTTAAACACACACCCTCCCCCCCACACACACCTTCTCTCTGAGTCCTAATTATGTCATATTACTATTTTTTAAGAGGCTGTTTGTTAAAATATGTGTTACTTCTGATCTGGCTCAAAATAATTTATATCAGTTTTTATTTCTATCCACATTGTAGCCTAAATATCTCTGATCTGTAGCTATATGGGCCTGGGGACAGACCCATCAACAGCTATTATCCTTGTTGGTCTTCATTCACTGAATGTTTCTTGAGCCCCACCTTTTTACTGGCTACTGTGGTAGCTCCAGGCAATATAGTGAAAATCTATCTACTCTCTTTCTTCAATGAATTTAGTCTAGAGAAGAATTTTAAGTGTAGTATGCTTTTTTTTTTTAAACTTTTTAAGATCCTGAATACCATGAGTAAGAATTGCCAGATTTGAAATGCTTTGTTAAGCTTTTTTTAGGCATGCAGTTCTATTTAAGTATTAGTAATGAGAATAGTTTGCTTTTTCGCCATGTTATAGAGATATTTTATTGTGTGTTTATTAAAGATATATACCTGTGTATATGCATGCATATCTCTGGCTCAGAATCAGCATAGAGGCAAACTTATTTTTAGATTACATTGATGTTACTGTTATTTTAAGGGCTGTCGTTAGAAAACCTTCAAGAGCTTTAGAAATATATGGAAATGGCAAATCATTGAGAGCTACCTATCTCTATGTGCTTCTATTTATGTCTTTATAATTGTGTAATGTATTAATCTTGACTTTTGTTTCATTTAGATTTTGATGCATACGAAAGAGATGGTACAAAAGGTAATGTTGAGCATTTTCATTGTATAAAACTCTTAAATATTGTAACTGGTAATGTTTTTGTATTCAAGGAAAACTGTAACCCAAACAGACTGGAAATTGCTTCTTAGGTTGCCTAGTTTACATTTATAATCCCTCCTAAAGTATTACAGCTTTTTTCTTTTACCAACACTGATATGATCTAGCCCCTGCTTGAAGCCTATATGTGAGTGTTTCAAGCAAATTAGTAACAGTGCTAATTAGAGTTTATTTCCAGGCCTTTATACTATATGTGCTCTAGTGTTGTTTGTTACGATTGATTTTTTTTGGCACTCTTCATATTCTACTAAATACTGTTTGCAACTGTATTAAGAATTTAATATGGATTTGTGCCCCTGAATTTATAGAATCCATTATGTTTCCGCTTCTTAAATTTCCATGACCACTAAGCATGTGTACGGTACAGTGGATAAATATAGACCCCATTTCCTAGTCTTTTATTCTCTTTTTTCTCATTATTTAATTTGATATTTTGTTTCTGTTGAAACTAGACACAATTCTCCTTCCACTCCACTCTCTATTTTAAGAAAATTTGAGAGATTTTCTTGATGTCAGGGTGCTTGCCTTTCTGGTTTATAGGGGCTTAATCTTCAATTGTATACCCTGACAATATAAATAATAATTAACATAAACTTTTGAAAAGTCTGTGGAGCCTGTAATATCTGTAGTATGGAAAATCTTTAGTTTCATTGTGTGTAATGGTCACTGTGTTTTTGTTAATTTTTATAATTTTTGCTTTTCATTAGATGAATCTTGAAGTTATTTATGGAGATACAGATTCAATTATGATAAACACCAATAGCACCAATCTGGAAGAAGTATTTAAGTTGGGAAACAAGGTGAGATAATTTTATGGAATTATCTGCTTTACTTATTTTTGTGAATTCTGTTTTTAACATGGGACACTATAAATTCATGTATATATGAATATGTGTGCTTCTGAAAATAATAAACTTGGTGTCTCTCAATTCTTCTATTTTTCTTTATTATTTTTTTCTGAGACAGGGTCTCACTCTGTCACCCAGGCTTGAGTGCAGTCGTGCGATCAGGGCTCACTGAAGCCTTGACCTCCTGAGCTGAAGTGATCCTCCCGCCTCAGCCTCCTGAGTAGCTGGGACCACAGGCACTTGCCACCATGCTCAGCTAATTAAAAAAATTTTTTTTTTTGTAGAGATTTTTTTTTGCCCAGGCTGGTTTTGAACTCCTGGGTTCAAGCGATCCTCCCGCCTTGGCCTCCCAAAGTTCTGGGATTACAGGCATGAGCTTCCATGCCCAATCCTTTTGTGTTTTTTTGTTTGTTTGTTTGGTTGGTTTTTTTTGAGACATAATCTCGCTCTGTGGTCAGGCTAGAGTACAGTGGCGTGATCTTGGCTCATTACAACCTCCGACTCGCTGGTTCAAGCAATTCTACTGCCTCAGCCTCCTGAGTAGCTGGGATTACAGGCATGCACCATCACACCCCCCTAATTTTTGTATTTTTAGTAGAGTCGGGGTTTCACCATGTTGGCCAGGGTGGTCTCGATCTCCTGACCTTGTGATCCACCTGCCTTGGACTCCCAAGTGCTGGGATTATAGGCATGAGCCACTGCACCCGGCCCCCTCTTGTTTTTAATTTCTATTCCAGCTGTTTGTTTCAAGGATGAAATTCAAAGGTATTTATTTTTTTCTTTAAATGGTAGATCCATTTTTCCTTTGAAAACAGTCTAAGTGTTATGTGTTTAAGATGTGTTCACGTTGGTACTTACTACATGGTGTGATTCATATGTCTGGTAGGATTCAGGTACATTTTATACATAAATACCTACATACATATACACTCACAACTGTAATTTTTATAGGATTACTTAAAATATATTTGAAAAGACAAGGGAGGGGACATTTTAAAATAATCATTTGTAGCCTCTTAATAGCAATTTGCAATCGCAATTCACAGTGTTTTAGAAACACTTGCTATGTTGAGATATTGTCCCAATGAACTAAAACTAAGATACCATCTTACAAACTGACAACTTCCTATCTTTCCCTCCTGGAATATGTGGAATTTGAATGGTAATCTTCACTTGACAGCAAGCCTGGCACATTGTACTTATACTGGGCCTTGAAAAGTTGAATATTTTCCCTGGAGGCGATGTTCTGTGCCTTGACCCTGTCAGAAAGAGCAGAGGACTCTTTATTTATTTGTTCAGCATACAGTTGTTTGCTTATAGTCAAGGTGTTAAGGGAGATCTTAAACATTATTTTAATAGTCAAAGTTTGACTTCTTTATTTCTGGCCACATATTTACTTGTTGGACTATCTGTTCACTAACTAACTGAATAGTTTGGAGGCAAGTACTATACATATGTATTAAGTCTTTACATTCAACAAAGACTGTTTGATAATTTTCATATATTACCTGGGGCTGATCTAGCCAGTCCTGTCCTTTGGTTGCATGGGATGATCTATTATTGTCTCTCTCTTTTTTTTTTTAAATCTATTTTTGTCCCTGCAGTTTTCAGTGTCTTTGCTCTATACCCAGTGTAATATCATGTTACATACAAGCCAAGTAAAATTCCAATATTGTATGACTTCAAGTTCTGTTTAGATTAACTCTTGGGAATCTGTAACATGTTTATCTTCTCCCTGTTAGATGTTTGAGAAGCTAATATTAATATTTGAAATTTTCACAGGTAAAAAGTGAAGTGAATAAGTTGTACAAACTGCTTGAAATAGACATTGATGGGATTTTCAAGTCTCTGCTACTGCTGAAAAAAAAGAAATACGCTGCTCTGGTTGTTGAGCCAACGTCAGACGGGAATTATGCCACCAAGCAGGAGCTCAAAGGATTAGATATAGTTAGAAGAGATTGGTGTGATCTTGCTAAAGACACTGGAAAGTGAGTTCAGCTTTCAGTTTTGCTTTTCTTGTTTGTCTTTTAAAAATTCAGGTGTGAATGATGTAGAGAATGCTTATGAAACTGCCAAGCGCAAGAACACTTCTTTGTTATTATTATTATTCATTCTTATTAATAATTCTTATTTGGAATGGAATTTTATAGGTAGATTAAAACTTAGAAAAAGCCAAATTTGCTCAGAAAGAAATGCTTGCTGTAAGATACATCTCATGAGTTTTTAACTCATGGTAAGGGCAAACCTTCACACTTCAGATCCTTGTAGAGTTGGTTTTGTTGATGTTGGTTTGTTTTGCTTTATTGTTACTATTAGAAAGTGCCTTGTTTTGTGCTCCTGAATCTTCCTAGAGTCTCTTTAGGAACATAACTGTTAAGATTTTCCCATTTTATGGCTTAAAATGTTCTGGGATTCAAAATGGGCCATGGAGTGAGACTTTGTTCCCACCCGTATGATTTGTGTGTAAATGATTCTTACTAATACCAAGTTAATTTAAGGGCTACTTCTCAAATCCTGTGTGTACCTCAGAATTAGTAAATATCATGATTGACCTCCTAGCTTTGCACCTGAGACTGAAGAATGTGATAATAAAACCTGCTTTTTTAAGGGTCATATTAATGTATAAAGCACCCATTTCAAAATGAATTTTTAGGCCGGGCACAGTGGCTCAGGCCCGTAATCCCAGCACTTTGGGAGGCTGAGGTGGGCAGATTACTTGAGGTCAGGAGTTGGAGACCAGCCTGGCCAACATGGGGAAACCCCGTCTCTACTAAAAATACAAATATTAGCCGGGCGTGGTGGCGCATGCCTCTAATCCCAGCTACTGGGGAGGCTGAGGCAGGAGAATCGCTTGAACCTTGGAGGTGGAGGTTGCAGTGAGCCCAGATTGCGCCATTGCACTCCAGCCTGGGCGAAGAAGCGAGACTCTGTCAAAAAAAAAAAAAAGAATTTTTAGGTGCTTCATGTACCATCTTAATTTGTGACCTTGACCAATTCCGAAAGTAGAAGAACTTTTTTCTTTAAAGCTAATTTTCACATCGATTTTAATATTCTGAATGTTGGCATTTAAAAACTTGCTTTCTAGTCTTCCTCTTGCTGTCAAGTTGGGAGATTGAGCAATTATTGGTTCTGCAAAACTACTCTTGATTAGGCGAAGTTGACCATCTGAGTATAGGTCACTGTGAGCCTTTTACCAAATGTAAAAATGTTTGAAATGCTTCATTGCCCCCAAATGTACCCAAAGATGAAAGTACTTTGTATAGACTGTGGATTAGAGTGTTCTCTTCAGCTTTGTGTTTTCTAAGAAAAGACGCATCATAATAGAAGTAAATTTCTCTTGAGTTAGAAATGTATTAGTAATTAAAGCTATACAAATGTTTTTGTCAGGGTTCTTTTTCTGACAAATTATAATGCAGCTGTCAAAGCCTCGCTCTGCATTTTCTCAGAAATGGATAAAATATTGACTTTCTTACTCCTTTCCTTTTTCTTTTTCCTTTGGGTCTGGTTGAATAACATGAAGTTTTTAAGGAATAGCATAAGGGAGAACACTGAGCAACAAAATGAAGATGAAGAAAGAAAAGTTTGAAATCTTTATTTTTTAAAAAAAATTTATGTAAAGGGCTTCATATTTCTACTCACCTAGCTCATGGTTGTTGTCTCAGGTGGAGATGATATCTTGTTATCAGAGATAATGTCTTGGTGCTTTGTGAGGAAAGTGAAATATCTGTCTTCTAAAATTTTAACTTATGAGTAGAATATAACTGCTTGTGAATTTTGTAATTGCATAAAAATATGGAACACATGCTTTTCTTCATCACATTTTATGTAAAATATTAGCTGCCACATAAAAAATGATCTATATGTTTAGGGTCAAACCCGACATTATAAGGCTGGCAAACTTTCGGTAGAGTTGGTGTTAAAAAACAAATAGTAACTGCTTTTTCAACATTAACCCTCATATTAGCTCTTACTGTAGCTCTTGGCCACATGTTAATATAATGGCATTTCTCTTCCTTTCTTCTCCTTTAATATGATATTAAAAAATCGACTGCTGTCTTTTTTTTTTTTTTTTGTAGCTTTGTGATTGGCCAGATTCTTTCTGATCAAAGCCGGGACACTATAGTGGAAAACATTCAGAAGAGGCTAATAGAAATTGGAGAAAATGTGCTAAATGGCAGTGTCCCAGTGAGCCAGTTTGAAATTAACAAGGTAAATGTAGCATTTATTGCTGAGCCCAGCTGCTGTCATGTGTTTTTCCCCTCCTTCAGATAGTTGAAGAACCACCTCATCCTTGCAATTGAAATAAATTCTAACTGGTGATGAAAGCTGCTTAACAACTATCTCACAGATTGAGTATTAGCATACCTCTTCCAGCCACAGGTACTGCCATGTCTGCCACAGAGACCTTCTTTCTCTGGTCCTTACTTTAATTCTTGGAAGACTTGTTTCCAGAGGTCCTATGGAGTGATACAGTTTACATACTGGGGACTGGAAAACACTACTTTCTTCATAGTTCCCCTAAGTAATAGTTGTTTGGGGTGTAGGCCTGTAAGCTTATTGTGTGCATGTGTGCATTCATGTGTGTGTTTAGCTTCACAGATGGTGATCCTTAGAGGTGCTGTAATCAGAAGGCTTTTGGGGACAAAAGTTATTTAGGGATAGTCTTAGTTGTTGAAAATAGGGAATGATTTTTCTTACCTAATTTGAAAAACAGAATCTTGATTTCCAAAGTGCTATGTAATAAACAAAATGTTAGGTTACAGATTTTTTCCCATTTTAGTACCCTTATATATTCAGAAGCTAGTTTTGCAAATACCGTGCTACCCATTTTGTGGTAGATTTCGTTGTCAAAGTGCATACAGAAAAAATTAATGAAAAAGAATCTAATACTGACAGTAAATGGAAGTTTTAGAATGAAGACTTATTCATAATACTCTGTGCTAATGTAATGCTTGTCATTTTTGTACATGTCTGTACTGTTGAAAACATTTTTATATTGCAGCAATTACAATATGTTATTTAGAAATATATTTTCATTTAACATAAACATTTTCCCACATTTTTATATTACCTTAAAAATCAAATTAATCAGTGTATTAATCTTCTGTTTCACTGATACATCTTTAAATTTGTTGATTATTAAATGTTTTCTATTATAAACAACTCTATTGAACATCTTTGTTTATTTACCTTTTTGCATTTGGATGAATTACTTTATTTTAGGTTCCTTGAAGGGAAATATTTGAGTCAAAAGATGTGAATATCTGTATGACTTTTGCCAAATTGCTTTGTAAAAGGATGATACCAATTGATAATAGCAAAATATGCCAGTTTCACCACAGTTTTGCATGTGGTGGTGATGATATTTAAATAAAACTTTGCTACCATAATGAATATGAGGCTGTGTTTCACAGTTGCATTGAATTTGCATTTCTTTGATTCCTAGAAGGGATGAATATTTTCTTACAGTTTATGTTTATTCTTAGGTAAGTTGTTTCCTGTACCTTGACTATGGCATCCTTAATGTCATGAAAGAAGACATTTGTTTATACATTAGAAGGGGACAATGTTTCTTGGCACTGGCTCTCCACTTTAAGTGATGAAGTGTACACATATTGGCATAGAATCGCTGTGTCATCTAGAAAGCAGTTTCCTTTTAGATTTTGTTTTCTTTCTCAAAAATTTATATGAGTAAGAGTTATGACTTAAGTCTTCTTTTGGTCAGTTTTTGCATCAATTCTGCATATTGTATCCCTGATCCTGTCTATCTTCCTAGAAACTTGGGCTTCTATCACAAGGGCTTCCAGGGATGAGTTTGGGAGTGTCAGTCCCAGCATGACTACATAATTGGCAAAATAACACTGAGCACATCTTCTTTAGGGTAGTGGGCCCACACTGTAATCCCCTCATATGAATGATGACACAATATTACTAGTGTGCAAAAAGAAACTTAGAGTCATAGGTATACTGACAGTATCTGAGTTCTGATGAGTAGTCTGCATTCTTTTAAGTTTTTATTGAAATTTCTAGACTTATGTAAAAGTAGAGAGCATGGTATCATGAATCCTCATGTATTCATCACTCAGCTTCAATAATTATCAACTTGTAGTGACATTTTATTATTACCAATAACAATAATAGTTAATACTTAGCATCTAGTATGATAGGGGCTATGAATAGATTTTTCTGTGGCAGAACTGAAACTGTGACTTACTGTCTTTATATTCTCCATATCACTTAGCATAGCCATTGGCAAATAGTAGTTGTTCAGTAAGCATTGAAAGAATTCATTTGCTTGTTTAATCATCCATTCAACAAACATGGAGTACCTCTTATGTATAGAGTGCTAATTCTGGGATATAAAGTTGAATAAGGAATGCACGGTCCATATTTTCAAAATGCTGATGGTCTATTAAAAGTATTTACTGTCGGCCGGGTGCGGTGGCTTGTGCCTGTAATCCCAGCACTTTGGGAGGTTGAGGCGGGTGGATCATGAGGTCAGGAGTTCAAGACCAGCCTGACCAATATGGTGAAACCTCATCTTTACTAAAAAATACAAAAATTAGCCGGGCGAGGTGGCAGGCGCCTGTAATCCCAGCTACTCAGGAGACTGAGGCAGGAGAATCGCTTAAACCTGGGAAACAGAGATTGCAGTGAGCTGAGATCACGCCACCGCACTCTAGCCTGGGTGAAAGAGCAAGACTCCGTCTCACAAAAAAAAAAAAGAAAAGAAAAAGAAAAATGTATTTACTGTCCCATTATTCTTAACTTTTATTTAATAGAGAAGAATTTCTGCAGTGTTGATGTAAGTACAGTAAATTCTGATGAAAGGGCTATCTTTATTATAGTTCTGTATCTATTTACAGTAAGCTCTTCATATGTTAAAGGTCATGTATCCTGATAATCTTTAGCATTTGTCTAAATACTTGCACTATTTAAAACTTGTGAGCAATTCAGTTTCTACATTTTACTGCCTCCAAAGGAGAGTGGAATGGAAGAGTCTATGTATGTGACTGGGTGACTGGTTGTGGATGGTCTCATGAGAAGATTTTTTTTTTTTTTTTTTTAGGTGATGCTGGTAGGGCTTGAAAATGACAGGTTAAATTAGGGTGGAGACATGCATGAAGTGATGGGATTTACCTTTAGAGATTTTAGCCCTTGTTGCCAAAAGCAACCGAAAAACAGCATGTGTGATTTTGCTGAACTACTGCAATCTTAGCTTAAATATATTTCACAAAGTAACACAAAATACTTCACAGCTGATTTTTATAGCTCTGGCTAACTTGAGCCTAAACCACCAGGAAGCATTTTTTTTTTTTTTTTTTTTTT